TTTTATTTCTATTTATTTTATTACTTTATATTTTCATACTCTTATTCTTACTTTTTTCTAATTCTCTATTCTTTACATCGGAGCAACTGTAACGAATCACAATTTCCCCTCTGGGATCAATAAAGTATTTCTGATTCTGAAATCAGTCATAGATTACCAAAAAAACTGTAGATGGAATGTCTGTCGAGGACACTATTGTTTCAGCGCTACTTGTCACTTAATTGACTGTGTTTTCTATATTTGGATCCCACGTGTCAAAGGAAACCTGACCAATCTGTAATTATTCCGTATATCCAGGTAACCATCATTGTGTACCTCTCCATTTTGGGCCTGCTGCTGCTCTACATGGTCTACCTGACTCTCCTGGAGCCCATACTGAAGAGGCGTCTCTTCGGACACTCGCAGCTCATCCAGAGTGATGATGATGTCGGGGTATGTGTTCTCTTAATATTACAGCGCACAGTGAGAAATCCCAATTAGGTTTTTATATTATAGTAATTATGGTACTGCCCAACACTTCTACCAAGAAAACAGGTTACTCTGAATTTATTCTTGTCATAAGAATTTCATGTATGTGTCAGTTACCTCCCTTTGCACAAAATGGGTCTCAAATGTCCAAACTCCAAACAAAATACACCACCTAATTTCTTAAATGTAAATCTTTAGGTGAAGGGAACATGTAAAAGTCACATTTAAAACCAGTTAATAATCAGGAGTGTTACAGCAGCTGGTCCAGTCTGAACAGATCCTGCAGGCAGCACTATGTAGTAAGACCTGCTCTCAGTGCATGGAGTGATTCATTTTTAAAAGTGCTTTCTCACTGTGTATCAAAGCCATTAGTAACCACCATTAGTAACCACAGTCAGAGGCAAAGAGCTGCAGGGAGGAAACTGTCAAACTACTGCACCATGCAGGCAGCTTTAACCTGTTTCTGTTCACAGCACACTGTCTCTGTGTGCTTTTGCCACTAACCTGATTCTTAGACATAATTGAAATGAAAGGCCAGCTCTGACTATTAAACACAACCCCAGTCTCTGTTTAAGACAGAAAGTTAACCGTTAAACAGGAAGTAAAACTCACTGTTAGGGGGGCTTTAAATGTCCAACAGTAATCAGTAGCTGATATAGCTGTCATTTTCACTGTCATTTAACTATTTCAGGAAACATCATTATAATGCTGAAAGTGCCCTCAAAGAGCATTAAATCAACATTGTCTCCTGCAGTATGACAGTGCTTTCAGATGCTAAGATATTTTAGATATGACAAAGGAAAACAGTGACTGCCTTCGCCTGAGGCCAGAGGGGAACTGCAGCCGACTTGCTGAGCTCTCTGCAGTGTTTTCACTGGCAGAGTTCAGGCAAGAGGAAGTGTGAGAGGTTTCTCACAAAAAAAGCTTTTCCTGTAAAAATATGACTAAGCAGGAGTAAGCACCAAAATGTTTAACATGGTTAACATGAAACATGTTAATCGATGTGGGTAAACCAACTTTTATTAAATTGGAAAAGGAAGATGGCGATTAAATCAACAACCAGATTACTATCAGGAATGAGTTGAATGTGAGACATGAACATTTCCTGGTTAAGGATGGGACCGTATCCAATTTTATCATGGATTGCGATAAAAAACACTCACAAAAAGTTGATAGTGGTGAATTTCCGTTATCTGGATAATCGTGAATTGTGTCCAGCACCACCCAAAGAGACTGCTGGGAAACCAATAATAAAAGAGACCCTGTACAAACAGGCTGCACCAACCTAAAAACATCCACCGCTGCTAATATTATGTTATAAATGAGCACAGAACTTAGAAACATAATTTAGTTATAAAATATTCAGTTTTATTTCTGCTCTGAATTTATTCAATCTATTTCACATTCTGGCAAAAAATGGTATTGAAACTGAAATATCAACCATAGAATCGCAAATTGAATCAAAATGAATCAGGAAATCAGTGGCGATACCCAGCCCTCAAAAGGTAAAGGGACTCCAGTATGTTTTAATGCCACAGATGATTATCAATATAAGTATTTTGGCCAGGATAATTATCCCATGCCTAGCTCTGGTAAATATGCTGTCACTGGCAACTTAAACGACATCACTGGTTTGCTGCTTTTTGGAAATAATGAAAGATATGTAATCACCTCTGCTTTTCCTGTATTTATGTCTCAGCAACTGAATATGAAAATTACCACTGTCAGAGAAAGCTTGAATTGACAGTACAATTATTCAATTGACCCAAAGTTGAGACTATTTGCAGCACTGTAGCTTGTCCCCAAACTGTCACTGGGATCAAAACAAACGGCAGAGACTTAAAAGCGAAACCAGTGTAAGCACGAGTACTGCTGCTACATTAATTATAGAGGAAATGGTGGGCTTGTAATGTTTAGTCAGTCTTTGATACAGAGAGGCGGCCCGGCTGATAATGATGGTTTATTTTCCTAAACACATTTGTCACAGATGTCATCTGTGGCTGTGATCCTCCCAACACTGTTCTTGCATTTACTTTTATTATGTGTTTCTGATGAGAGTAACAATAGTGACTTTATTTTATAGCACTGAAATAAGTTACAAACCACTCTACAGAGAGACGAGAAACAAATCTTTGGCAAATGCAATTAAGTTTTAAAAGAGCAATAAAAGCACAGAGACACAGAATAGAGAACTAATTAAAAAAATGGAAGTGTAATTTGGTTTAAAAGGAGTTTAAAGAGGTAGAAGGTCAGACAAAGAGTATGTGGTGTAGCTGAAGTGATAAGTAACCCAAAACAAATGATTGTTGCTGTGTGAAAGAGTCCCTCTGTTTTCCTTAAAGGCCTCTGTTGTATTTTACAGCAGTGTCTAAGTTTGTATTTGTGTTAGTGGACGTAGTCTGTTTAATTCAAGGGCTCTGTTTAAGTCTTATGAAACTGTGCCGACACAAAAAAAGGTTCACAGGCTGTGATCAATACAAAAAAAAAGGTCCGTTTTTTTAGGACATCCGTGCACAAAAAGAAGGGCGCTCAAAGGGCAGAAAAGAGTGAATGAAAACAGCAAAACCCCTTTGTATGAAACACTTTCATATTTCATCTACACTATATGGACAAACGAATTTGGCCAAACCTGTTAATTATTGAATTCAGGTGTTTCAATCAGACCCGTTGTGTATAAAGGGTGTGTAAAATCAAGCACCTAGCCATGCAGTCTCCATTTGCAAACATTTGTGATACAAAATGGGTCGTTCTGAAGAGCTCAGTGCCTTCAAGCGTGGTACTGTGATCAGCTGCCACCTTTGCCATAAGACGGTTTGTGAAATTTCATCCCTGCTGGATATTTCATAGTCAACTGTAAGTGATATTATTAGAAAGTTGAAGCGTTTAGGAACAACAGCAACTCGGATGTTGTCATGTAAAATCACATATCGGGGTCAACGACTGCTAAGGTACGTAAAAGTTGCCATTGCTCTGCTGATTCCATCGCTGAAGAGTTCTGAGCTTCCACTGGTATTAATGTTAGCACAAAAACTGTGCCGCGGGAGCTTCATGGCCGAGCAGCCTCACATCACCAAGCCCAATGCCAAGCGTTGGATGGAGTGGTGTAAAGCACACCGACACTGGACTGTGGAGCAGTGGAAACATGTTCTGTGGAGTGACGAATAACGCTTCTCTGTTTGGCAGTCAGACGTGTGAGTCTTGGTTTGACAGACTTTGGGAGAACGTTACCTGCCTGACTGCCAACTGTGAAGTTTGGTGGATCAGGGATAATAGTACGGGGCTTTTTTTTCAGGGTTTGGGCTCGGCCCCTTATCTCCACTGAAGGACAATCTTAATGCTTCAGCATGCCAAGACATTTTGGACGATGCTATGCTTGCAACTTTGTGGCAACAGTTTGGGGAAAACCCTTTTCTATTCCAACATGACTGTGCCCCAGTGGTTGATGAGTTTGGTGTGGAAGAAATTGACTGGCCCACACAGAGCCCTGACCTCAACCCCATCGAGCACCTTTGGGATGAACTGGAACGGAGATTGCGAGCCCGGCCTTCTCGTCCAACATCAGTGCCTGACCTCATGAATGCTGTACAGAATGAATGGGCACATATTCCCACAGAAACACTCCAGAATCTTGTGGAAAGCTTTCCAAGAAGAGTGGAAGCTGTTGTAGCTGCAAAAGGGGGACCGACTCCATATTATAGTGTTGGTGCAACGGTCAGCCGTCCAAATACTTGTGTCCATATAGTGTATTAAGGAGTCTTACAAGATGGACCTAATGATTGACCGACAGTTTGTCACACCTTTTAGGCTAACAATGTTTTTCCCATTCTGTGTTTTCAGGATCAGCAGCCTTTTGCCAACGCTCACAACGTTCTGTCCCGTTCACACTCTCGACCCAACATGCTGAACAAAGTGGAGCACGCCCAGCAGCGCTGGAGGAGGCAGGTCCAGGAACAGAGGAAGTCTGTGTTCGACCGCCATGTTGTTCTCAGTTAAACTGCCCAGCGAAGGAGAGTTACTGGTGGAGCAGGATAAAAAAAAAAAACACTGTGACAGAGCCCCCTCGATTTATATCACTCCCTTTCTCTCATTTGTGGTTTGTATCTCATCAAGTGTGACACTTCCCAGATGAACACGGTGAATAAATGTGGATCTGTAGAGCAGAAGTCCTAGTGAAACGTTTAATCAAAGCTGGGAACTCTTATTTAGTCTGCAGGCGGCACAAGAGATTACAGTGAATTCATTTCTGCACAGTCGTGAATGAAGAGTCTTAAACAGCATTTTTTCCAAAAGCAGAATTTACTCTGCCTGCTGTGTAGTTTGCAGAAGTGCCAGCTCACCCGAAAATTTGCAGTGAACAATTTGATGTTAGAGACTAATAAATGTGAGATAAAAATAAATCTTTGATGTGAATTTTTTATAACATACTCTAACTCTTGTGGCCACAGTGTCAGGTGGAGTATCATCAGTCCACCTCTGACCAGTCGTCAACATTTACAAGCCAAACTGGCTTCCAGAGTCAAACATCCAGATGTTGGTTAACTAGACAGCTGAGCAGCCTGCTGACTGCAGTAATGACCTGTTAACATGTAGCTGCTGGTTATTTTTCCACACTAAAACAAACACAACTCGGACCTGCTGCTCTCACCACAGGAGAAAGGAAATAGTGTAAAATAGAAATCTTTCAGCCTTCTTTGAAAAATGCATGTTTTATAACGAATCTTTTATAAATGTCTTTTGAATCCTTCATTCCTACCATGATGTCTAACGTCTGATAACTGGTGTGAAAATCATCATTTGCATTGAATTTGATTTCTCAAAGTAGTCTCACTAAACCTCGTTGCAGAAATCGATGCAATCTCTCTGTGGTGATGTCATAGTAATCGTAGCTGTGCTATTGATCCTCGTCTGTTGAAGACCCTCTTAAAATCAGTGCCCTCTTCAACTGCATCAACAAATCTAATGACTAGTCTTTTATTTCGGCTCCTCTGTGTGCTTCGTCTAACGTCAGCTCCATTGTGACGGTCCTTGTTGTCTCACAGGCAGCAGTAGTGCGACAGAATGATGTTATTCAGAGTACAGAGAGAATTTATTTTGTGTATAGCTGGGCTGTGTACAGACCTATGAAAGTGTTCTTAACTACTGTATATGTTATACCTTTAACTTTGAAATAAATTATGTAATATTTGTGATTCTTGTGTTTGTAATAGGTTTGAATTTATTCATGCTTTGTATTACTTGCAACCCTAATCAGACTTCTCTTTTATGTAATTCTCTTTTTAATTTGTTTATAAAAGAAATATGAACATATGTCACAAAATACTCAACCAAAATAAGTAAATAAATAAATAAATATAAAATTAAATAATAAATTTAATTTTAAATGTAATTTTTTATTGAAATAAAATGTTTCAGGAGTAATAACATAAACAAAAATTGTACCATAAAATCAGGTTAGAGAATAAATAACATAAATAGATTGTGCAAACAAGGATGTTGAATCAAGACATACATGTAGGGACAGTGGGGGCTCTTAAAATCAGGTCTAATTTTTGAGACATATACCAACCATTATATAAATATTATATACCAAGTCAATCCATTTCTTTTCGCAGCCATTTCTTGGTTAGGAATTTCTTACATGCCACTAATAATGTAGCAGATATTTTTATCCTTTTTCCTCCATTTGAGTTCCTCCAATCTAATCAGGTACATCAGTTCAAAATTAAAGGTTATTTTGGTTAAAGAAACAGTTTCAAGAATGCCATGAATTTTAGTCCATAAAGGAGTGACAGAAGGGCACCCCCAAAAGGTATGAAAGTGATCTGCTTCTTTGTTCCCACACAATCGCCAACAGTTTGTTTGGTTTAAGAAAGATTTTTTCTGGGCAGGAGTACAAAAGTAACACATGACATTCTTCCAACTAAATTCTCTCCAGAACAGAGAGCTTGTTTTCCACTGTTGTCAGAATATCTTTTCTCATTCCCCTCGTGTCAGATTACCTTCAGTTTCCCACCTTGTTTTAACTCTAAATGCATTTTCCTTGTTTAGTTGTTGAAGGTGCGGGTAGAGGTTTGAGATGACCTTTTCATAAGCTTCATTCTCATGTGCTCTAACAAATATTTGGAGTGGTTCATTTTATCAGAGACTTTTCTATCAGTTGGAAGAACAACACCAGACCAGTGTTGTTCACCAGTTTGTGCAGCAATTCATCTGACATGAACACATAATACCTGTAGATAGTTTAATGGTGTTATGTCAACATGAGAAATAATATGGCGATGCACTTTGAAATAAATGACACAGCCTATTCAGTGCTTTTACTTTGTATTGTACACAGAGTGGGGTAAACAAGCTTGAGTGTAGTCCTAAACTGAGCCTCCTACACACTTTACCCCAACTGATTTTGCCCAGTTGTTAAAACCAACCAGTATTTCTGCACTGGAATATTACCATGTCTCAGGTTTGCTTTATGTTTGTGATCATTTAAACACACAATTGTAAGACAAGGCCTCAAGATCTGCGAACTTAGGGCCATAATGGTGCATATTACCAAATATATCAGTTGTTAATGAGACCCATCAGTAGTCCTGGCCGACAATCCTGTCTTTAAGAGGCTGTAGCAGGATGACTTTTTAAGATAGAGTGAAGATACTGGCATCATATGAAACTCCAAGGTGGACTAAATAATACTCCACAGTTAGGCCAAATTTCAGCAAGGAAAAAACTCTGTTACATGGGTCCCTTGACCTCTTACTTCAAGATATCTGAATGGAAATGGACTCTATGGGTACTCACGAGTCCCCGCTTTAGGCTAGTCCCATGCAGTTACTGGCAAAAGACATAGTTTTTGCATGCAGTACAGTATAAGTGTGTAATTTTCGCTGTTGTATGAATATTTCTGCACACTGAGGTCCCTACAGTCTTGGAATTGCATAATTTGGGTCTTACTGGAAAGCTGAGACTCTTGTGGATTCAATATGCCCAATTTTATTCATGTGTGATGATGTTAGTCACTACAGAAGCCATTTCATTGTAGAGAGACCATTTTGAAATGGACCTCACTGTATAAAATGACCTACTGTGACCTCTAAGATAATCACAGCCTCATGAAAGTTACAACCACAAACTACAGACCTCGGCCATTCAGAGGAGGGATGGCTTTTATGGACATATTGACAATAAGGGGGTTTCTAAGCAGTTTCCAGAGTAGAGGTGCTCACCATGGAATTACTGAACAATGTAATTCTTACAAAAATCTCCAAATGTCAAATGTTTTTTAAAACCAAATCACAGCATGGGGTTTTCTGTGGTGTTCCTCAAGGTCTTGGAGTCTTATGTGGTAATTTTAGAGTGATTTTTGACTATTTTTATTTAACCTTTCTTTAACCAGGAGGTCCCATTGAGATTGGAAATCTATTTTACAATGTAGCAGCCAGTCAAATCACATTTAAAATGCAAGAAATACAACATATAATACAAAAGTCCACAATAACTCATCAAACATAGTGGTCTCTCAAGGAAAACAAGCACATGTTTTTATCACCATGGTCCCTTTAAATTCATCAATGGATATAAGTGTTTCTAATTTTAGATCTTTTTGATGATTATTCCATGTCCAAGGTGCACAGTAGGAGAATGTGACTTTCCTCAGATCTGTTAAAACCCAGGGAACATTACAAAGCAACCGCCTGGAGGAGCGTAGCTGGTAACTACCAGAGCTGAAGGATGTTTGCCCAGTTCTGCCTTATAGATAGAAATATGCCAGTGCTGTTGTCTGGGAGTGGTCAGTGATGTACAACCACCAAATCATAAAGAATGCAGTGATGAGTCAGTGACTTTGCATTTGTAATAAAACATAGAGATGCATGGTAAACTGAATCAAGGCTAGATACAATGGAGGATGCTGCATGCATATACAATATGTCAATCACAGAAAAAAAAGTGGCCTCCACAAGTTTTTTCTTAGCACTCAAAGTAAAACAAGACTTACATTTAAAATAAAAACCAATCCTCACTTTAAGCTTCCCATAGTAACAATGTATACCCCCCACCCATATTAAAAAAATCACTCGAGACTCACCTGTTCAGCGCTGCTTTCAATCACTGACAGTTTCGACTCATCATCCCTTATTTGTTCTGTTGCATGTCTGTTTTTTTGTGTCCCTGAATTTGTAAAGCATCTTTGAGTGCCTTGAAAAGTGCCATTTAAGTATAATGTATTATTATTATTATTATTATTATTATTATTAAATCAAAGCTTGTCATCTATCCATATACCCAAGTACTTGTATGAGGACAGTCTTTCAATGGATTTACTGCCAGACGTAAAGATGCCAAAATCATCTGTGACCGGGCTTTTGAGAAGACCACAAACTTTTCTGAGCATTTAAAATCATTTTTAAACTCAGCAGAGCAGTGTGTAATGACTGAAATGCAGACTTTTATTTTATTTATTTATTTATTTTTTATCAAATCAATGTTTAAATTCAGCACCAAACCTGACAAAAGGTATCAACCCAAAAGTTGCTGCAATAACCTATGAGACATAACTGAGTATTGGGAATGGGAATCATATGCTTTTATCATAATATTCTAAGCCCCCTATACATTCTATACTTTAAAAGGTGCATAAAAAAAACACGGTGTTTTTTACGTATACGTATATTTAACATATTTATGATTAGAAAAACTTGACACAGCTGCACCTCAAATTAATCTCGAGGTTCCCAGCTTTCAGATGGTATATACCACTTCTATGTGGCATATTGCCACAGAACTATCTCCCCCTAAAGATCTCCTGTCCTCCCCTAAAAAAGACAAAAATGGTTTTATGGTGGGTCTCTAAGGGTTAATCGAAATATCACAAAGTAAAGCCAGTCTAATGATCCAATCTTGGATGCACACATCATTTTTAAAGAAAACAGATAAAATGATTTCTACTGAGCTGGTGCCTTTGTGGTTCAGTAAATCTTTGATCCTTTAAATGATTTATATTCACTGTGTGGCCACAGTTTTCTGATCCATAACAATTTGACACTGCCAATGGAAAAACACTCTGGATATTTTCCTATAAAGTATCTTCAATAACTTAGAGCATGCTTTTACTTTTTCTCTCTCAAAACCCCCTGAAAATAGACATTTCAACTTTTCATTAAAATCTGTTGAACTAAACCATAACTACACTAACTTTTCTGCAAACGCCCAGTATCTTCTTTTTCTATTAAGCAAAGTGATTTTCATACAGCTGCGTCATCATTTCCTGTGCAGTCCACTTTTCCTTTTTTCTCCTCCTCATTGCATGCAGTTATACGGAGGAGACTATTTTTCCGCAGGAAAAAAAAAAGAATCAGTTTTCAGGCTGCACAGACAGAAAGCGACACAGGCTCTCTGTGAAACAATGGATCACTGAGCAAACACAGCAGCAACACACACACACACACACAGGTAGGCTGTTTGTTTCACTTCATTAAATCTTGCATGTGTGACTAAATTTAACATTTTAAACTAACTTACAGTAGTGTGTGTAGCATCTTTACACAGTTGTGTTGATGGGGAAAAAAGTTGTTTGTGTTAAACAGTCTATTGCGTTGCTGGCATGATTAACATGACTGACATGAAGTTATTGATACACGACTTTGATCGATGTTGTTGTAAACTGTCTCTTTGACGTTTCGGATGGAAAAGTCGCTCTTCTTAGTGTTGAGGCTGCATTTGCTTTGGTCAGCCTACAGGGGGCGCCTCAGCCTTTGAATTTGATCCATCAGTATAACTAATGTCTTTTGCACTCTGCAGACATTATTGATACTCTCACCTGTGTTTACTTTTTACTTCATGTCCCTACAAGTTTCACTTCAGTAGGTCTTTCTTAGACATCTTGCCAAAACCACCCTACACACACACACACACACACACACACACATGCAGAAACTGTCACTGTATGAAACATTACACCATTACGCTACATTTGCCTTCAAGGTTTCTCACTCAGGAGTCAGACCGATGTTGTTGCTGCTGTGTTGTGAGCAGCTGAAATGCCATGAGATAAAGGACCGTCCTTGTGCTAAACTTTGCTCCTCAGTGTGTTGTCACACTGCAGCTGCAGTTATTCAAAGCATTTCTAGACACAGTGACATGGTGTTACTTGTTATTGAGCAAGCATCCAAACATCTGGTTTTCAGACAAAATGTTC